AATAGCTCAAGAACTAAAGTAAATCAGGATGTTTTCTATCAGGCTACTTTGATACAATAATCCAGGATGTTTTCTACAAGATTTCTTTTCATCATTTCTTCCAAAGGGACTGCAGTCCAATCAGGTCCTCCAAAATATACATTTTCCTCAAACTTTGAAAATATGAGTGGTATAAGCATTTGAAAATCTTTCTTTTCAAAATGGGTTTCATACATAACATATATATATATATATATATATATATATATATATATATATATATATATATATATATATATATATATATATATATATATATATATATATATATGAAAAAGCTCGTGGATCTTGAATGCAAGAGATAACCTAAAGATTCCTACAAAAATTTAACTCAATTATTAAGTTGGACTAGCTTCAGGATCTACTCCAGACATAATAAATTAATTAATTATAAAAGCAATAAATGGAACCGTGCACCAGGAAATATTCACGCAGTTCGGAGCCTCAATCCTACGTCTGCGAGGCAACTCACGTAAGGTCAATCCACTAGATGATCAACAAGGAGTACAAGAGGGAGTACATTACACACTAAAGCATAAACTACACTACTCATGCGCCTACTCTAGCATCACCATGGACTTGACGTGCAGGCTATCTTCATTTCTTCATGAACTCATTGTGAAACCTCCTTGACCAGTAAGAACCAACCAGATCCGAGAATATAATATATCAGATTTTCGATGAAAGAAATTCTTCTTTTAAAAGCACAAAAAGAAATGCTAAACAAGGTAGCATTTTATAGTAGTATTGAAGTGCTTCCTTGATCCAAAAATTGTGCATCTTCTAACTCCTCATTTTAAGCTGCTCCTTTAGATTTAAAGATCCTTGTAGATAGGGTCTTGACTAAAAGACTTTGACTGAGTTTCCCCTTTGCTGTATTACCTTCTGGCGCTGATCTAGAGCTAGAAAAAAAAATTATTTTGACAACTAAATTTTAGCCAATTAACTACTTTATTTTGACAACTAATTTAAGCCAACATAGTAGGGTCCAATGTGTAATATTTTTACACTTACAATCTCCCGCTTTGGCAATTAGTTGACAAAACACCACTTACACAAATATACTTGAAGGCTAGAACATACTTCGTATAAATCTTTATTGATAAACAGCCTGAGTATATTTGCTTACATTTTGGAGAGCTAGACGGTCTGGATCAGAGTCAGGAGTAGCGTTGAAGAACAGAAAACCTAGTAGCCATCAAAATACTCCCCCTTTCTAAGTACTCCCCCTTTTTGTCACACTAAGTGCTAAAGATGATCATCAGTGGGTAAGACTATGAGTTGACGGAGTGCCCAACTTATCCGAAGCAGGGGGGTAGATTCCAATTCATCATCCGTTAGTATGATTAATATCCATATCTCATCCATGAATCACTTATCATATATTCAACCCACCACGAAGATGGTAAAAAATCAATCCCATCAACAAGATAATCCAAGGAAATAATGTGAATAATATGATGATCCAAATAATATGATAATCCAGATGAGATAATCTGAATAATAGGATAATCCGAATAAAGATAATCCAAATAAGTATGCTCCCCCTCAATTAGTACATTGACTGTTCGTCAAAAGGAAACATCATAGCTAAGAGCAAGATTCCGTTTGCTTTGTCTGAAAGAATTTGCCATATGAACCTGCACACGCTAAATAGAGACAAGAGACCCAGAATAAGGCACATCAACGTGCAAACAACTCAGCTTAACAAAAATCAAGAATTTTCAAATTTGGTCAAACAAAACAGACAGATTAGCAAATAAACCAGCAGTTAGATTCATATAAAGCAGATCTAGGCACAGATTCATATAAAGCATATTCAGGTACAGATTCATATAAAGCATATCCAGGCACAGATTCATATAAAGCATATTCAGGCACAGAAAACACACAACCACAATCAGACACGGTCATGACCGGACTAAATACATAACACACAGAAACAATTACAGATCACATTAAAAAAGACATTTTCAAATTTAGACATCAAGACAGAGGTACTCAAAGATATAAAAACTGGAGCAAAGATAGAGACAGAAGCAAAGATAGAAACAGAGAATTCTGGAGCAAAAACTGACATAGAACCTGACTGGACAGGATTAGCAACAAGAAACTGGAGCAAATAAATTAGAAGGTACAATCACACAAAATTGACCAAACCATATATGGACATTTAATGAACAGATAGATACAGTCAAAGAAGACGAAACAAGATAATTAAACCAGGCAAAAAATATCTACGCAGTGCAATAGGCAACAAGAAAGACAAAAAGATAGGAATTGAAAGTGGTATTGAGGAAATACCCCTAGTAGAGGAGAGAGTAGATAATAGTACCACAATTCCAGACTTTTGAACTCTCCAAGTCAGCAATTGGAGAATTAGGATTAATATTGTCTGGACTAGGCCAGCAATTCTTCTGGATCTGAAACAGTGAGCAAATTTTTTTTTTAAAATAAATTATTGAATTATAAAATACCTGGTTTTATTTCGATGATGACCCTTCAATCTTGTATTTGCAGATTCTCTAATCCGATTCCTCTGTCTTCTGCTAGTTTTCCTTGAGATGCAATTGGAGTTAACTAGGACATAAAATTTGTTTTCCTAACCCACACTTGTTTTACAAACGGTGCAATGTGTTTGTGGGTGTACTTCTCATGCCTTTGATCTTTATAAAAGTAAAAACACTCAGGTCTAGTATGGCCCATAAACCATGCAATAATGACAAACAGGGTTATAGAATTTAAAGTTTGGATTGTCACGCCTTACATTACCAAACCTTTCCCGCGCTGTACTAGTTTCTGGAGTATCCGAATCTGGTCCAGGTGCTAAGTCAGAGTCATAAGCTTTTACAAGAACTGTCACAGCCTTTCCTTTTCCGCCAGAAAAACCTAAACCATACTTGGTAGATATTGTCCTTCCAGAATCCAAGATTTGCTCGAGGGTGGAAGTGTTGTTCATCATTTTAATTCTCCTTTTGAGCATGTCCAACTCTTGTTTGAGTTCTTATTCGCGTTTGAGTCCGTCTTTGATGATGTTGTCCTTGTCAGCAATTTGATTTTGATACACTTTTCTAGCATTCTCTAAATTGCTAACTTGACTAGACATAGATCTATTGACTTTTACAAGAATTTTCCATTTGGCATACAACTTTTTATATTCTAATTCGAATGAGGGAGCTGGTAAATCATGGTCTTCAGCCGACACATATTCTCCAGCTTCTGAGTTTACTTCAGCTTCTGGGTCAGACTCCATGTTGGCTATTGTAGTGAATGCCACAAAGTTACCGGAGATCTCTTCTGGATCAGATCCTGGATCAGGATTAGGTTCATGTTCGTCATCATCACTCTAGGTTAGAGCTGCCTTCATCGACTTCTTACGCCTTAGGTATGTTGCGCATTCTGCTCGAACATGGCCGAAACCTTCACATTCATAACACCTAATGCCTTTTCCACTTGATTTCTCCCTAGACTGATTGTTTCGTGATGGACGAATATTAGATGATCTAGTTTTTTGGTTGTTACATGATGCGTGTGATGTTGATCCCTTCTGGTTTTGAAACCTTCCATTTTGAGAGTTGATCATCTATTTCACCTGTTTCAAAAGCTTCAAAAATTGTTTAGTTAAAAATTCAACTGGATCAGTTACTGACTCATGTTCTTCAGCTATAAAGGCAATGTTTTTTTTCTTTTTAGTGTGGTTAGAGAGTATTTCCATCTCATAGGTTTGCAAGTTTCACATTAATTGAGCTACGATTTTGTTCTCCCACCCGTCATGTTCTTGAATCACCGTTACCTTCATCCTGAAACGTTGAGGGAGTGAACGAAGAATCTTCTTGACTAGTTTAGGTTGGGAGAAAGGTTCGCCTAGAACGGTTGCACGATTTGCTAGTTCCTGAACACGGGCATGGAAAACAACTACTGATTCGTCTTCTGCCATTTTTAGATCTTCAAAGTTAGATTGGACCATTTGGAGTTTGGACTGCTTGACGGAGTTAGTTCCTTCATAGGTAGTTTCCAAAATCTCCCAAGCGTCTTTGGCAGAGTCACAGCCTGTAATAAGGGTAAACTGACTCTCATGCATTAAGGAATAAATAATATTTAAGGCTTTATTGGTGTAGTTTGCAGTAGTCATCTCAGCAATTGTCCATTCTGTTTTTAGTTTGAGAACTGGAGGGGCTCCTATAGTGGCTCCATCTTTGGTAGGATGAGTCCACCCAGTGAGAACTGCCCTCCAGATCATCTCCCCATGAGCTCGTAGGTGCATTTTGGTACGAGCCTTCCAGTACGCATAGTTGTCACCTGTTAATTCAGGAGGTGCTCTATGTCGTTCTATTCTGCAAAACTAAATGCACAGTAAGCTAAAAAAGATTGACCAGAAAAGAAGAATCAAGAACAAAAACCGAGATCTTGAGTTCAAGAAACACGAGTAAGCCAGCGATTAACGGCATATTTTCGCCTTCCAACGTCGTCAACCCCGTATTTCTCTTTCATTAATTCCCAAATTAGTTTCGCTGACCTATGTGGCGAAAACATATCGAATAGAGGATTACTAACCCGTTGCAGTATTATTGCGCGAGCTGTCTTGTTGTCCTTCTCGTACTTGGTACGAGATGTCTGGGAAGTCAAAGCAGCCTGCGTTGAAGTCGACGTTGGAGCCGTTGGAGTAGCTGTCGACTTTGAAGCTGTTGAACCATCGGAGGTAGCCCGTGCGTCTTTTGTAGCAGTATGTGCAGGTGACTGCACAGCAGACTCAGCAAATTTCTCAGGATCCTCAAATATGACATAATCCACATCTTTGGATTCTAATAACATCATGACTTTGCCAGCCCATCGCTTGTAGTTCAAACCACCCGTAAGAGGTTCAATAGGAATTACATCAAAGGGAGGATTGAACGACTGCGACATGTTGATATATAGCAAATGTTTTTAACTGTTGAAAATCTCTGGTTTGTATATCAGCAATGTCGAACGAATGGCTGGAGAATTTAGGCGTGGGAAACTGTATAGTAGAAGTAGAATTTTATCTGTGTCGTGTTTATAAAACACTCCCTTAAAAACATTTGCGACCAGGGTATCGCATGTTTTCGACAGGACTCACAGACTCGTAGAACAGAATTTGTTCAATATGAACTCAGGCAAAATTGGTGTGTTTCTGGAGTGGAAGTGGTGAGGCTTTATATAGCTAAAGCCTCCCACGTTCACCCCATGATGTCCATGCAAAAGGCGCGACAAGGAAGGAGATGACAAAGGCTGTCCACACATTCCATGTGGCTGATATCACATTTCGGACAATGAGGTCAAAGGACCACAAAAATAGGGGTGCCTCATTAAATGTACCCAACAATCCCCCACACATTTGAGGAGGCTAGACCATACCCGATAATGCCTGAGTCTGCACCAGAGCTAATTTCCATATCAGTGTATGATACTTGAGAACTGACATGTAGTGGCATTTAAGTAACTGTTTCCCGAGAGTGAATTAGATCTTGAACTCATCGGTTAATCGAGTTTTGAACTTAAAAGCACTCATTAACTCTGTAAAATCCCTGTTCAGTCTATCTCAGCATAGACATTTTATTCTGTCAAATCTATCTCAACATAGACCACCCATATTGGGTTACAGATTAGGTGCTGTGTTTCACAGCCTTTTAATGTAAGTCTTTCCGTGACGGCTTAGACCACCCCAGTGATTTCCATCACGAATTTCTTACCTCACTAGGTCTCAAACCCATCTCCCTTGATGTATCAAGGACGGCCTTTCGATTTAGGCCTTTTGTGAAAGGATGGCAATATTCTTTTCAGATCTCACAAACTCCATTGTGATCACCCCATTTAGTATTAACTGCCGTACAGACTCATGTCTGACTCTGATGTGTCTTCTCTTTCCATTATAAATAGTGTTTTGTGCAACACAGATGGCAGTTTGTGAATCACAATGTATAGGAACAGCTGGTGCTGGACACCCCCACAATGGCACGTCTGCCAGTAGGTTTCTCCAGCCATCCGTTCGATATTGCTGATATACGAACCAGAGATTTTCAACAAGGCCCAATTCCAGCATTTCGAAATAATAATAATAATAATAATAATAATAATAATAATAATAATAATAATGATAATAATGATAATAATGATAATAATAATAATAATAATGATGTTTCTATTCCTGCAGATAGTTATGCAAATAATGAAGGACTCTGTGGAAGTCCCTTGAAGCCCTGCAAACCTGTTGCCCAGAAAGACCACAGCAGTGAAGATTTCTTAATCAGTGGCTTTGCTTCTGAGATCCTGACTTTAAGTAGACTAAAACATCAAAACTTGGTACCCATTTTAGGGTTTTGCTGCCAAGGGGAAGAAAAGCTTTTGGTTTACAAGTACATGCCGAACGGCAGCCTGCATGAGTGGCTACACTCTACACAAGACATGGCAAAAGCCTTAGATTGGGGTGTGAGGATGAAGATTGCCCTTGGTGTAGCTAAAGCCCTGTCATGGCTTCATTACAGTTGCGGCTTGAATGTGGTGCATAATGGCCTGTCCTCCAAATGCATACTTCTGGATCAGAATTTCGAGCCAAGAATATCGAAATTCTGGGAGGCAACAATCATGAACCCCAATGGCACTGCTGCTTCAAGTTGCAGTCTTTTACCCATTAAAGCTGCAGAATATGGAGACAATTTCAGCCCTTACACCAAAGATGTGTACTGCTTTGGGATTGTGCTTCTTCAGCTTATAACCAAAAAGGAAGCCTATAAATTCTTGAGCTGCTCTTTTACTGATATCATATTTGATAGCTGCACAACTAGTCCACCTCAAATAGATGAAGTGATAACAAACACAGGATTTGATGATAGCATCTCACGATTCCTACAAATAGCCAAGAATTGTGTGAAATTCATGCCTAACCAAAGGCCAACAATGCTTCAGGTCTATGAATCGCTCACATCAATTGCACAAGCATGGGTGACCAACGATGCTTCTGAGATTTCAATAGATTACACTTGAGATTATATGTTACAATTGAGTTATATGCGAATAATATAATTACGAAGCATATCCGAAGCGAAATAATATGGAGCGAATCAAATCCGGCATCGGATATGACTATGTACGCAACCGGGCAGACCATGGAGGGGTCTGCCACCCCGGGGTCCTCGACCACTGCCACCCCTGAGTACTCGACTACCTCGGGGTCGGCCACCTTGGGGTCGGCTATCCCAGGGTTGGCTAGCGTGAGGTCGGCCGCCTCCGGGGTTGGCCACCTCATGGTCCTCGCTTGGCCGAGCTCCGGGCTCGGCCAAGGGACGGGGTCCTCGTGTTGTCCGAGTTTTGCAGCATCGGTTGCGGTCCAAGGCGGTTGAGATGACCTCCCACCTTACTCTCCGAGGTTGTCGGGGCGACATTAGGTATAAAAACCCTCACTTGTGTCTTGTTCATACATCTTGTGTCCTAATTTTACACTTGTCTTGTTATTACATTACCACAGTCCTTGTAATAGCATTTCGCATACAATTAATACAACATTAGTCCCCGTGACGTACTATATTCGTATCATTATTTTGACCCCCTATTATCGTTTAATCCTATACGTAACACATTTATTCAGGTTAATTGGTCCGGACCCCAGGTTAATTAATTCCAACAGCGGGCATATATATATATATATATATATATATATATATATATATATATATATATATATATATATATATATATATATATATATATATATATATATATATGCGGCTTCCGGCCTTTCTGTGAGATTATATATACTTGGAATTAATTTGAAATTGGAATGATAGATTCTGTGTAAATTGTGAACATTGTATTTTCGTAATATACAAATTGTGAATTTTTAAAAAGTAAATTGTAAACATTTAGTAGGTAAATTGTGAACATTTGAACGTGAGCATTCCTTATATAATGGACCCAGGTCCACAAAATAATTTGCGGAAACACAGCATGTTATAGTAATCCCTATATATACCAGTACAGGGCCACATCAACCCCATGCTTCAATTCTCCAAGGGTGCAAGACTCACCATATTGGGGCCACCTTACCTTACATCTTCCTTGCACTTGCACACTAACTCTAAGGGAAATTGACTGAAATGAGTATATTACTCCAGAGACAAAAATAAGTAACTTTTTAAACTTGAACAAAAAAGACAAAACTTATTTGGAACTTGAGTTTCTTTAATTTCTTATTTTTTTTTATTTTTTATTTTTTGCAAATACATACAAACGCAATTAAGTATGACTTGTGTTTGTAAATATATATATATATATATATATATATATATATATATATATATATATATATATATATTACTATATTAAACATGCAGGTTGTACTTGCGTTTCTAGTTCGTAGAAATACGAATAAGAAACTCAAGTATAACTTACATTATATTCGCGTGTCTCAATTCCCTGCGACAAGAGAAACTCAAGTGTGACTTGATCGAGTTTCTCTTTCATGCAACATGACCATTTTGCCGAGTGACAAAAGGGTTGAGAAACTCAAGTCACGTTGGACATTCCTAGACTGAGGTATAATCAAGATACCAACGCATCTTGACATAGCAAAGAATGTCACGCTGACGATCATGGGCATTACCATTAACTTGACTCTGGGTCGTCACTCCAATAATATTCACTTTTCTTATTTATGTTGCTCATTTGGGTCTTTGGATCATGCTATGGTATTTCAAATTCATTCTTTTTCACTTCCTTAGGAGTGTGTATTCAATCATGACTTTTGTAGAGTTTTAAAGACTTTTAAAATGATAAATTTTAATAAATTTTGATTGACTTTCATAGAGTCGTTCAAAACTTTTTAAAACTTTATAAGACTCGATAAAAGTCTATATAAAAAACATTCATAGACTTTTATCAACTTTTTATTTTAAAAAGTCTACAAAAGTCATTGAAATTCTAAATTGAATACATCCTTACAAACTTTCAATAATTTTGATTCTTATCATTTATAATTTTCTTACAAAACATTTATAATATATCATAAAATTATTTTTATTATATAGTTCTTCACCCACATCAACATTCTCAACATTATTATTTTTATCCATAGTATGCTGAGACTTATATGCTAATTACTTATATATATATTATTAATAAACATCAACAAAAAAAAACATTTCATTTTAAATTCATAACAATATTGAACAATAAAATTTATAATAAAAGAATTTATCAAATAAAATATTTAAAAATATAATTACAAGTTGCATAAAAATAAATTAAAAATATAATATTAATAACATATATTAAAAAAATTATACTTGATATATTGTTAGGCATCACGCAAAAAACTATTATTTGCAATAGCAATTTGAGACTGCGAACAACAACAAGGTGCTACTATTTTCAACCCCAAATTGTTGTTACAAACAGTAGTTCGTCATTCGTAGTAACCTATTGTTAATATATATATATATATATATATATATATATATATATATATATATATATATATATATATATATATGTTGGAAAAATAGCATTAAAATGATATTTTGATTGATTATTTTGTGGTACAAATATATGTGGGATCCACTTCCGATTTGGGTCGGGTCAAGGTGGATTCGGGTTCTTCGTAGTGAGACGAAGAATTTGATATAATGTACGCTCAAAATGGGTAATAGGTGAATGAGAAATTGATTCTCAAAGTGAACCTATTTTGAGAGAAGTCAAAATCTTAAGATAGTTGCTAATTAAATTAGTAATTATTGTGATTTGTTGTACCCGAAATGTACAAGGAATAAGCTTAATATGATTTAGCTTTGGAATTGGGACGAAAGTTATGCAATGACTTTTGCATGGACGAAAGTTGCATGAAAATGTAATTTAGCAATGATAGCATTGAAAGGTTTAAAATAAATCTTTTAATGCATGGACGAAAGTTGCTACATATAATTAAGCATTGAAAGTGTAATTAGTGAATTGAATATGAGCTATCCTTTCGTGCTCCTTTTGAGCTCCTTTCGTGTGAGCTACTTTCGTGCTGAGCACGAGTCAATGTTATATGCATTGATTCGTGCTGCACCGTTTCGGTGCTTGCGGACCACTCGGGTGTGGTTTTCGGTCCCAATTCGTTAACCTTTCGGGTTTGTACGGACTACTCGGTCACTCAGATATTTGAAACGGGACGTTATGGTCGGTACGAATTAATCGGATATTAAGTTCGTGACCGTTGATATTATTTCGATAATAAGTACGACCGTTTCAAACGTTATAATTCAATTTTTAAATTGAATTTATGTTGGTTAATGTGTCATAATAATGCTATTAAGTACCAACATCCTATATAAGAGTGTAGTGGGAGTAGAGGCTTTTCACATGCATAGTGAGAGACAACTAGTGAGGGAAGAACACGAGAGTACACAACACACAAAGATAAGCACTTTTTCTTCTCAAAAATTCTGCTCCTACTCCATTCTTGAAGCTGTGTTTTGCCCGTGCTCTTGTTCGCCGGGTTCGTTCGTTTGGGTGCTCAAACGTCGAACCGTTGTACGTTTTATCCTGGGAAACCTAGGCCACAACGCTCCTAGCACTTTTGGGAGGTGGCAAATAAGGTTTTAAGGAAAGACAGTTACTTTGCCTAACTCGTACATTTCTTTCTTTCTTCTTCTTTCTTGTTTTGGATTATGCTCTAAGCAAAAATCCGTTCTTTCTTGTTGTTTTGGAATTATAATCTAAGGATTATATTTTCTTTTTGGTTGATATATATTGGTATATCTTTTTCATAGATATACATGTATATATATAACCGTTGGGTCCGTTTTATATATATTTGTGTGTATATATATATTTCGGATATATATCCAATAATATTTTATATATATTTCGTGTGTATATATATATACATAAATATTATTTTACGGATATTAAATCGATTGTGGTTCATTATCACCAACAATCTTAAAACCTTATTTATTTTGATAATGAACAAATCGTTGGATTCCAAGAGTATTGGATCCGTGAATGCTGCAGGAGGTGCACATTCAAATGGTCGGAAAGGCAACGATGTTGCACATTCCGTGATGCCGGTTGACGGCAGCAATGTTGGAAATGTTGTTTCCATGGGAGTTGCAAAAACACACGATGGTGCTCCGGAGAACTTTGGTTCACGATCCGGTAGACCTGTGGCAAAAGGCACACAATTGGTACCTATTGTGTTGCCTAGTGGATCGGCTAAAAGCCATGAAGGATCCTATGATGGTGTAATGACTACATGGTCTGAGGACTATGGTAGTGTTACAAATGACTTCAACCGTAATCGAAGGAAACTCAAGCGAAAGCTTAGATTTCAAGAAAATTACGAAAAGAAGGAGAAATGCCACTACGAAGCGAACCGTCATCCTAGTGAAAAGGTTGAGGACAACTTCGCTATGTTCAAAACATGTGGATGGTTGGACGAGTGAGGTCACAACCATAGGTACCCCCGATGTGCGCTATGGACCACCCTTCGTGGAGTGGACGGTTGAGAATGGAACAAGGCACACGGGTTCGAAGGACTACTACATAGGAATAATAGAAATTGGTTTCCAATGTAATTTTCCTATTTATTTATTAATTAAATAAATATTGTAGTATCCTTGGAATATTTTTATTTGAAAAAAAAAAATATAATTGTTCCATTGAGTTGAATCTTGGTACATACGAATTATTAACTAGAATAATGTCAAATGTATGAAATGATTCAATATGGGTGCGTAGTGCATCACGGGGCATTATGTGAAAAATGCTAAAATGGCTTACCGGCCAAAATGAAATGTAACAAGCGTGTTACATGTTGAAATCCTGTAACGAACTTCGGTTCAGGTTCATTTAGAACGATACGGATTTCAAGGATCAATTTGTCAAAAATTGGGACAACTATATAATCGTGAGCGTCACAGCTCAAGTGTTGAATATTTTATATAATATTCTAAGAACGATTATATGAGTTTGGTTCAACTAGTTTTGGAAATTTGGATGATTTG